GCTCCTTTTTGGTATCCTTACAGCAATCCCACAATGATTAGGGAGTTATCTACCAAGTAGCTCAAAGGCCAAAATTTTATAATACTAAGTATAAAAATACTTAGTATTAGTAAATACGGTAAGCTAATATCCTCCCTCCTGCCCCAACCTGTTATACTGCGAGTAAGGGAATGTCTACTAAACAGCGAGCATCCACTGGCTTTAGAATATTGACCATTTGAGACACACATCATTTTATAAGATATAATGTTCATAATGAATAGCTCTGCTCACATTATATCTGGTTTTATCTCCCTATTGGTCTTTGTATGATCTTTACAGACCTCCTACTTTTCGCTGCACGGCCCAATATAATCTGATCGATATTTCTAGGATTCTGCTTTTCTTGTTTTGCTATTTTATGTGATTTGACAGGTCTGTTTTTGCTACTGTGTTTTTATATCCATCTAGTAATAATCTCAGAAGTGTTACCAAACACGCCTTGACCAAAACACGCCTAGGTTTGTATGACTGCCAGTGTGCACTGCTTTACTTTGTCCTTGGATATAAGAACATTTTGGCGAGATTTGATCCTGGAAGCACCTGTAGGATGACTCATGCGTACAGGACAGCTTCACATTTGTTTTAAAATTAATTTTATTGTTTTGCATCCCCGTAATGCCTTCTAAAATGTGTGTAAGCTCTGGCCTAGAGAATCTCTTTATATAAAGCATATCTTTTTGTTATACAAGTTAGAAATTTATTGAAATGTATTTGCATTTTCCATTCAGCTTGCATCAAGTATTCTACTCAGCATTTAGTATTTTTTCTAAATTCTTCATTGTGTATTGAAAAGTTTCCATGAAAACCTGCTGTATATATTTCTATAAATTTCGTGTAGATCAAAAACCAGATTAAGGGCGTAATTGTCATTTTCAAGATATCAAATAATTTAACGATTTGGCCTTTTCTTATATTCAAGTGTGTTGTGTTAACTCGTTTGTGGTTCTCGTTTGATAAAACCTCCAAACGTTAGTGTTAATCCTCCTGGGTTGCAATCCTGTAACACTGAAGTATGAATGAACACTAATAAAAAGACCTGTGGTTAGCTCTTCAAATGTATTTTTTTTAAACATAAAGTAACCCAATGGAAGAATCGGGCAATTGTTTGCATAAAATGAAAAGAAAAAGGGCAAACAAAAACCAACCACTGTACAATTATTCTGTAGTTTTCTCTTTTTATTGAACTTGAAAAATGCTGTAGAATAGAATAGATAATACTAAATCACTTGCTAAACTCTACTGCCACCTTCTGACCATCTCTGTCTTTGAGGCTTTTTGTCAAACCCAGAACATCTCATTCACATCCCAGATTCTTACATTATAATAAAAAGTTGAAAATCTCTGTTCTGTGAATAAAATTTAGCGAACCAGTGTGAATCAGGCTTGACATGTTTCCAGTGTGATACCCATGCAATATGCGTTTGGCTATAACTGTGGATAAGTGATTTAAGAACCTAGTTATCCTCTATCATGCAGAGAAAGTAGTATAGGATTAAATTATAATCTTTCATAATGTATTACCGGTATGACCTCAACGTGAATATTCAAAACTGAAAATTTGAGAGAGAGAACATTTATAAAGGGGCTGCTGGGACAGATAGAGAATATAATACACTTACTCTCAAACTAGCTTTAAAACCCATAAGGTTTTTTATAAACCACTGACTTGGGTAAGATATTGGGGGTTTAGATACAAGATATTATCATGTGACAAGTCACCTAAACCTAATGACTCTTCACCTCATCTTTTCAAAGGTTTGATCGACCTGTAACCTATCACAATTTTCACTCTTTTCTCATCATCATCTCCTAACTATTGCTTCACACACCACAGCAGAAACTTAACATATCTCGCCCTATCGGAAACCTAAGCTCACTGGGATGCTTCAATTTTCCCCAGCTCCCCATTGTCCATTTTTAGCTCTCACCTTTATCCTATGCCTCTCAAGCATTTCCATATGCTCTCTTGTTCTGGATATGGCTGCACCAATTAAAGCCAACTTTCAGCCACAATCAGGCTTTCAACCCTGTCATGGTGAGCTTGCCCATTATCTCCAAAATGTTCCCGTACTGCAGTATGCTAATGGAGGAGGTTTTGCACATCATCAAATTTCCTCAATTAAAAATCTATGCTACATTCTTAAGGCAGTGCCATGTTTTTTTCCCAAACTAGAGTAATTTACCTCCATCACCCCCAAAATGCCTATTTAACACATTTAACTCCTTCCCCAACCCAGTACAACCGCTCCCAACAATATCCTCACAGCCAGAAATTTTACATGTCACTTTACTGGCAACATAGATAAACCAGATTAGGAATGATATCTACTTTTCTACCCTACCTTTTGTGTCACTTTACACCACTACCTCTAGAATTTAAGCTAGTTTGAGCAGGGTCCTCAACCCCATCTGTTCCTGTGTGTCCAACTCATCTGGTTACAAGCACTTGTCTGTTAGTCCACCCATTGTACAGCGTTGCAGAATGCGTTAGTGCTTTCTAACTATTAATATCTCCTGTCTTTCTTCCCCAACCCACTCAAATTTAATACATTTCTTCTTCCACTCTAAATATTTGTGTCTAACGCTCTCCAGTCTGGATTCCACTCTCTTCGTTCTACTGAAACAACCCTAACTAAAGTGACTAATTGTTTACTTTCTGCTAAATATTAAGGTCATTACTCTCTTTTAATTCTCCTTAAAAGAGAATAAACCCTCTGCTGCTTTTCACAGTCGAAGACTCACATTTTACTTTTACAGCCTTAAAGGACCACTATAGTGCCAGGAAAACATATTCATTTTCCTTGCATTATAGCGCCCTGAGGGTGCCCCCACCCTCAGGGTCCCCCTCCCGCCCGGCCCTGGGGAGAGGAAAGGGTTAAAACGTACCTTTTTTCCAGCGCCGGGCGGGGAGCTCTCCTCCTCCTCTCCGCCTCCGATCCTCTCTTTCGGCTGAATACGCACGCGCGCATTCAGCCGGTCTCATAGGAAAGCATTCATAATGCTTTTTCTATGGACGCTGGCGTCTTCTCACTGTGAGAATCACGCAAGCGCCTCTAGAGACAGCCACTAGAGGATTTGGAGGCTGGATTAACCCTATTATAAACATAGCAGTTTCTCTGAAAGGGGTTAATATAGCCACTGAAGTCGTTTATTCCGAGGCCTCTGTTATGCCTTTTAATATAGCAGCTGGATTAATTTATTCCTAGGCCTCTGCTGGGCCTTTTTTTTTTTTTAAATTCTTTATTTATTCCAGTACAAGACATCACATGCAATTCACATACATCAACTCGTTGATCAGCATAATTAAGCACATACACCGAGATTATAGCTCTTTACACCCGCAAAATGAATTAACAATCAAGGTCACCCAAATCCCGCCATTAGAGATCACTAAGTATCAGCATGTTTCCGATCTCCTTAGTGGACCGCAGTCCAAAGTAAGCTTGGATATCCCGCCTGGGTTTTATACAATATATAAAACAGAAAACTGATAACAGACATTACATAAAGACCGCGTTAATAAAGCAAAGAGGATAATAGGGAGAAAACACCCATACACTGTGTAAGAAGTATAGCCTATCCCCCCACCTTTCCGGTATTCCCTATATATTGCCCACATGTGCGGTCGTGGCCAAAAAAAAATAAAAAATAAAAATAAAATAAAGATCTGCTGGGCCTTTTTATAGCCCCTTAATCACTTATTCCTAGGCCTCTGTTAAGCCTTTTAATCTTGCAGCTGGTTCACCTAAGTGTGGTTTCTGTTCAACCCTTGGGGCTTGCAGGTTGAATTCCCAGCAAGCCTTTGAGGTAGATACAATGAGTGCCATTCAATTAAGTAAAAGTAACATCCCCAGGATGCACTTGGAAACCACAAAATATATGAATGTCTCTTTCCTGGTTAGACATTTCGTTATAATTTTTCCTAGTGCCTTTTAATACAGCTGCTGGGTTCACTTAATCTATGTGCCTTTTAATATGCGTTTTCCGCTTTATTCACTTTTTCTAGGCCTCTGTGATTTTAATACCTGGAATTCTGCTTCAAGGAAGTTCAGCCTCTCTTCCTTGGGAAGTCTTCAGTACATGGCCCTGTGCAAAGGTAACCCCCTGAAGATACCCCTTTAGCGACCAGGGTTTTTACTTGCGGTGACCCTAGGGGTAGCAAGATCATGCCATCACCATGATTCCTGCAGTGACCAAGGCGTAGCAGGCTGGACGTGCACATACAGAGCACATGGATTGCAAGATTTAATATGACAATCAGTTTTTCATTTCCAATGTCCTTATGCGGTGTGTGTTGTCAATTTGCATTCATATTTTGGAAGTCTTGTGTACTACTTTCCCTCCCTTGGTTATTACCCATTGTTGTGCTGCCATGGATATGGCCAGGAAAAATTAAAACGTATTCCTACTTCCCTTAATTTTCTTTTCCTGTTCGTAGGCCATGGCAGCACAAAGATCCCGCCCTGGGATATTGCTGGAAACAAGACTGAGGGTGGGAGGGATAGGAGGGGTTACTTATAACTTTTGTTTTAATTAGTTTTTGGCTAATTAGGGATAGAGAGGAGCTAGCCATTGTTGTGCTGCCATGGCCTATAACCAGGAAAAGAAAATTACGGTAAGTAGGAATAAATTTCCTTTATATCCCTGCAATGCTGAAAACAAGTGTCAGATGGAGTAACATGTCGCTTTCTACTGTTTTAACTTAGCATTTCTTTACTAATATCAGTATGAATATTAGCAGAGATAAACTCTTGGGGTGCATTTAAAGGGACACTATAGTCACCTGAAGCAGTTTTGGTGTATAGAACATGCCTCTGCAGCCTCACTGCTCAATCCTCTGCCATTTAGGAGTTAAATCCCTTTGTTTATGAACCCTAGTCACACCTCCCTGCATGTGACTTGCACAGCCTTCCATAAACACTTCCTGTAAAGAGAGCCCTATTTAGGCTTTCTTTATTGCAAGTTCTGTTTAATTAAGATTTTCTTATCCCCTGCTATGTTAGTAGCTTGCTAGACCCTGCAAGAGCCTCCTGTATGCGATTAAAGTTCAATTTAGAGATTGAGATACAATTATTTAAGGTAAATTACATCTGTTTGAAAGTGAAACCAGTTTTTTTTTCATGCAGGCTCTGTCAGTCATAGCCAGGGGAGGTGTGGCTAGGGCTGCATAAACAGAAACAAAGTGATTTAACTCCTAAATGACAGTGAATTGAGCAGTGAAATTGCAGGGGAATGATCTATACACTAAAACTGCTTTATTTAGCTAAAGTAATTTAGGTGACTATAGTGTTCCTTTAAGGATTAATATTAGGTTTAAGATTAAAATTAGATTCGCAATTAGCTTTAGGATTAGAATTCAGATTAGGACCAGCATGTGACTCATTCTAACTGCTAGGGTTAGGATTAGGGTGAGTTTATGATTAGGAATTAGTTTAGAATAAGGGATAGGCAGGGCCGGTGCTACCATTAGGCGAATAAGACATTTCTGTCTCATTAGAGATATTGTTGCCAGAAGCTCAAGGAAGCAAGGTGAAAGGTTAGTGTAGGATCCAAAGAGGTTTGCCTTGACGTGGCAGGTGGGCTAAAGTCTCTCATGGCCATTGGAGAAACTAAATAACCTCCATTTGTTTAAATATGCATAGGGTTTTGGGAAGAGCACGGGTAACTTTTTTCTTTGGTTTTTACTGTATGTATTGGGGCTGATGTATACTATGGTCATTGCTGCTGCCCAGAAGTTATGGGAGTTTGAGCGCAGGACTTGTTCTTTTTAAAAAGGCATTCGCCTAGGGCACAGGCTTGTTGGGGGCGCCCCCGGCAGGCTGCCCTGTTGCTTTCTGGGCTGGTGGATTGGGCGAGTGGCTCCTTGGCCAACCCCCAGCACACCCATCCAGCTGCTGGGCTCCCTCTGCAGCCCATTACCTGCTCAGGGAGCTGGGTTTACTGTAACCCCAGCACCCGAGCAGATCACGCTGCTTCCAGGGGACAGGGGAAGCTGGGACATTACTTCCAGGCTGCCCCCTGCCTGTAAACACTGGAAGCAGCTTGTGCTCACAGTGCACGGCTCTCCTGCTCCCCCACCAGGAACAAAAAGGCTTCCTGCAGGCTGGAGGCTGCTCCTCTTTCCCTTCACTCACATCACTTAGGTGTGGCCCATCTGCAGGTAAGGGGAATTTATTATTTTGTAGATGATTGTAAATTGGTGTGAGTTTGTGTTTGAGTGACAGTGTGTATGTGTGCAAGTGACAGTGTGTGTTAGGGAGAATGTGTAAGTGACTGTGTGTAAGTGACACTGTGTGTGTTAAAGAGTGTGTGTTAGTGAGTGACACTGTATGTCAGTGAGAGTGTGTGTTAGTAAGTGACACTGTATGTCAGTGAGTGAGTGCGTGTAAGTGACACTGTGTGTATGTCAGTGAGTGTGTGTGTTAAGAGTGTGTATGTGACACTGTATGTCAGTGGGAGTACAAGTAGCACTGTCTATCTCATTGAGATTGTGTAAGTGACACTGCATGTCAGTGAGTGTGTGTTAGTGTGTAAAGGACACTGTGTATAAGTTGGTGAAAGTGTGTGTTACACTGTGTAAGTCAGTGAGAGTGTGACACTGTATGTCAGTGTCACTTACTTACACACTCACTGTATGTATTAGGCTGCATGTGTGTATGGATATATGTATTAGGAAGTGTGTGTAGGGTTGATTGTATGTAATTGTATGTATGTATGCATGCATGGATAGATATATTAAGCAACGTGTGTATATAGATGCATATAAAGACCCTTGGTGCTTGGTTGCTTTACTTTGCAGCGCTAAGTGCAATAGGAACACAGCACCCAGACCACTTCAATGAGCTGAAGTGGTCTGGGTGCCTACAGGGTCCCTTTAACCCCTTAAGGCCCAAACTTCTGGAATAAAAGGGAATCATGACATGTCACACGTCATGTGTCCTTAAGGGGTTAACGTCTTATGCGTCTCCTTCCCTAAATATCACTTCTTTGCAATTCAGCATTTAGTGAATACACCTCTGAAAGAATGTAGTTGCATTCATGAGAGGGCGGCGAAGTGGATTGTTGCCTAGGGCGACAAGAATCCTTGCACCAGCCCTGGGGATAGGATTCAAATTGTTACTTTGCAAAAGGTATACGTGTGAGGTATTGTTGTACTCAGGTGATGTTGCTGAGTATAGTTAATTGTATTTTCATTTGATAAAAACTTGACAATGCAATTCACTTGATAATGGTATGCAAATGTAATCATTCATTCTGTTCTCAGGAGTTGTTCCCAATTGCCATTTATTATTTTGGATTTGTATTTTTTGTAGTAACACACATACAGTTTAAGTAATAAACTCCTCTCTTTCTGTTTTTGTCTCCTTAATAGGTGTCAGAGTGATTTCCATGTTTGCAAGTATACCTACAGATTGTGCTTTGCTTTACCACAACCACTGTTTGTGTTACAATTTCCACTCTGTATACACCTCATTTCATGGACACAGGGTTCCTTTCACTCTCTATAAGAGGTTCATGGTAAATACGATTTTTGTTGTTGCGCACCATCACTACTGTAAGTTATTTTATGTTCAAATCGTTTTACCAGGATTTGTTTTTGTTGGTTGCTGCATGTACTAAGATCCTTCTCCCATTTGCGCCATCCTATTTATAATATTTTTTTCTTGTTATAAGTGTATGTTAAAATGTGAAAAAACACAATTTTACTACAATAATTAGCAGATATTTGCAGTTTAATGTATAAATAAGTGTCGAAATACCAATAAGAAAATAGCATGTGATGTCCACTTTATATGAATATATACTTTTGTGTTGCAATTTAGTTTTCTATGATGGCTATTAAACATAGAAGACAAACTTATCAAATTCTAAAATTGCTCCACAACGAATTTTGCACCTCGTATTTTAATTCTTGTTACTGTGAAAAAAACTGAAATCCTAGATTTGTCCTCTGTAAATCAAGATAAATTAATTTATGTTCAATTACTTTTCTAAAGCTGCATTAAATATACAATCATTATTTCCAAAACTGTGAAATGTGTTACATCAAATGAAAGCCCCATTAGCACTTTGAAAAACTGTATATAATATGTGTTGGTGCAACAAATGAGGAAGATGGAAATTGTGGTTGGAGAAAAAAAAAAAAAAATTGCTTTGGACCTTAAAAGGAACACAAATGTCTATTACTATATTATTAAACACTATTTAGGTGGCTAGACCCCCTTAAATAGGATAACAAATCACCTTTATTCAAACATAATTTGTCCTGTGAGTGTAATTCAGTCTGGGCAGTGCATTTATCTGATTTTACTGTATTAAACTATTTTAGATGTCTTTCTTTTTAGATTATTATTTATAAGGCTCCAACAAATTCCGCAGCGCTATACAATGGGTTGTACCCCCCATTATCTGTTATATATATATTGGTAGAAATCTCACCATGGCTGCTGACTAACCAGTGACTGTCCTCTGTGACTCCTACATGCATTGATCTATTAGTTGAGAGACCAGTGGCAGATATGCATTAGCTATTCATGTGCTTTTTTTTTTTTTTCTTATTTAAATTTTTTATGAAAATTGAAGCAGCACAAGGAACATGTACCAAATACTGAGCAATCACTCCAGCCACATACCTCTTCTGACCAAAGTGAGAGTGGATAGACGGGTCTAATGCACTTTCGCAATTTTTTGCCAGCTTGCGAAGACTCACCTAGACCACCACCCTAACAGCTTTAACCAACTTCTCTCCACTGCCATATGCTATATGTAGTTTGCATATACAAGAAACCATCACAGACTAATCCCTCTGTTTCCTTTTATTTCATTGTCATGCTTTGCAACACCAAGTGGCATTTGCACCCTTGTGTAATCTATCTCCTGACAGCCCATTGCTGGCTAATAGGGCTTACCTTCACCAAATGAGTGGAATGGTGTGAATTTACAACTTAGATTCTGAGGGATTTCAGAAAGTCTATTCATTTATTCTATATTTCCTGGTTTTACCATTTAATATGGTCTTTAAAACGCCTTACGGACTCTACATTGTGTCTGTTAACAGTTAACCTGTTCTAGCGTCATCTTGGCTCATCAACTCAGCCCATGGATTTTATTACATTTAGACTGGTTTAATTTGTTGGTAATTCTCCCAATCCCCATTTTACCTTGGTTGTTTAATCTCGTTGCCAATCATATATAATGTTATTAAAGTGTGAGAGTCCATCTCTACTCATAAGTCAGAAAACTGTTGTTTTGTATTATGTCTAGTTTCCAGTACCATGGTAAGTAAAATACATTATATTGTTTTTATATTATTAGAAGTAGATCGTTAAGTTCCATCACTAAAGAGACACTATAGTCACCAAACAACTTTATCTCAATGAAACGGTTTTGGTGTATAGATCATGCCCCTGCAGTCTCACTAGTTAGTTCTCTTGGATTTAGGTGTTAAATTACTTTGTTTATGCAGCCCTAGCGACACTTCCCTGCATGTGACTTACATAGCCTTACTAAACACTTCCTGTAAAGAGTCATCTAATGTTTACACTTCCTTTCTTACAAATTCTGCTTAATTTAGAATTTCTTATCCCCTGCTCTTTCAATAGCGTGGTAGAGCCTGCAGGAGCCCCCCTGTGTGATTAAAGTTCAATTCATAGAGCAGGAGATAAAAAGCTTAAACAATTTTTATTTCATGCTGGCTGGTTCAGTCTCAGCCAGTGGAGGAGTGGCTAGGGCTGTATGGCCAGAAACAAATGTGATATTACTACCAAATGAAAGAATTGAGCAGTGAGACTACAGGTGCATAGTCTATTCTAAAGCTAAAGTTGTTTTGGTGACTATAGTGTCCCTTTAATAAGTGGCTAATTTTACTATACCCATGTTTAACGGAAGAAGGGAACACCCTCCCTCCCCCCCCACCAAAAAAAGCAAAAAAACAAAAACACAGAAATCCATGTATTTATCCAGAAGAATAATAGTTGATCTGAGGCATAAATTCACACACAATCCCTTATTTGAATTTATTGGCATCACATGGCATACAAGAAGGAATCCCAGAAAGGGTCAGTAGTTTAGCAGCACGTTATCTTCCATTTATTTCCCAAAGCAGAGAGACCTACAATACATTATCTATCAGACGATTGATAATCTGTTTGAGAAATGGGGAAAATCTAAACAATCTTTGGGAGGATGCCCTTAGGATAACTGACTAAAAGAAGACACTATTTTGCGTGTATTACACTGGTATAAGTGTATTTCCTAATACATTAACAGTCAAGGCAGAAGCCTTATAAAGGCAAAAAAATCTTGACAAACTCATGCTCCGAATTGCCCATTGCACAAATTCAAGTCAGCCCTTTTTATCATTTATTCCTGAACATAGATAATAGGTTTATGAATAAAGGTAACACAGACGACATGTATACAGCCGGATTGTACTTTGCAAAAAATGTTGGTACATAGTAAAGATTTCCTACTATAACATGGCTAAATGTAATATCACTGTAAACCTCAGTGTAGAGTGTATCACAAATGGTTACTAAAGTATCAGAATATTTCTGTTGGATTTATGTAGCAATTATTACCAACAGCTGAATTCTAAATACATTTATGCCATTCAGTTTTTTTCCCACTGTATCATTTTAGATCAATTTGTTCATTCTCTTTAAATAAAAGTGCCTCTCGAATACATAGAAATAGCTCTAAATAAAATCTAAAAAAACTATATATATATATATCCCAAAAACAAAACAATATACTAAATGTGCTTTTAACGCCAGACAGTGTACTTTCTGTACAAAATCGTTATTGTAGCATTTAGGAAATGTAACTATCCAAGGACACATATGCAGATGTTACAGGGTTGTCCTGATACGTTGGTTATGATTTGCAAATCATAATGAATGGGACATCACACTTTTTTTTTTTAAATGCTACAAATAAACAATTTTTCCTATAACCCCAAAAAAAATTTTTTTTTTCTTCAAAGCAGTAGAAGAATTACTTTTTATATCAACGATACATTTTCTTTAACAGAATATTTTACACGTGAAAAAGCATACTTGGGAAACCTATAACCAACATGCTTGAGTTCATAAAACCATGATAGTGTGTTATGAATGGCAAACTAATATTGCATGTAATGACTGTGGGTAAAAGATCTCTCTGAAATAATACTTGCACATTTGGCTACCGATATCAAACTCTATATGTCAGACACACCTACCAGTCAGTAGCGTAATAAAAAAATGGCTGCTTAATTAAGGAGTCTGAAACATTACATTGGCAACAGAGAAGAATTATTTTTATACTCCTCAATGTAGTCCATTCACGTTCAGGTCAGTGCATTGGTGTGGCAATAAATAGGCCTTCATCTAGCAGTACAGCGCAAGCATAATCTAGAGAGCTTGTTCGTTGATCTGCAGCTGGTCAGGATGAGCTAGAGAAAGAAAGATCAACAAAAGCTTTCAGAAAATATTTAAAAGATTAAAAAAAATAAAATAATAATAATAAACTTAAGATCTTTAGATGTATGCCCCCCATTAAAAAATATAGATATTTAAAATCATGCCTAAACTTACTTGTACTCCACTGCTGAAACAGCCTCTTTTAAGGCTGATCTGCTATCACTGAGGTCATCAAGCTTGATGACAACTGTTCTACCAAAACAGAAACAAAGGTTGTTCAGCACTCCTTATAGTGAAAAGATCTTATTGCTTGATAAAAGACAGTCTAAACACTGCAGCTTATGGTAGCCAATAAAGGGATATATATATTTTTTTTTTTTTAACTATTAGGAGTGTTGGACAACTCTTGTTTCTCTCTGGATACTATTCAGAAATAGTGGAACAGATTCCTTGCAGTCACATAAATTTAGTTCACATAAGATAGATGCTCTCCATGATTGGATTGTTTGAAGCTGTTCTATAAAAGGTTTGCCAGAGACGCATTTAGGATATATGACGCATGTGTGGCTCTTCTCTATAAAAAAAAAAAAGACAAAGTGCGGTGTCTTAAAAGGCAACAACTAACCTTTGAGCAGCGGTTTGCGCTCCTGGAAGATGCACAGCGCCACAACAATATCAAGGGATGAGGTGTACCCGACAAACTACCAGTGGCGGAACTCCCACACATGGTACGAAGACTGCTCTGTGCCTTACTGACTCCCAAACAGGCCAAAAGCATCCATATAGATGGGACCTTCCGAAATACAAAGCCCTGGAGAGCACGTGAGCCCGCCACTGGCGACATAGTGGTACAACTTACCTGCAACAGGGATAATGCGGCAGTATTGGCCGCGCTGAAGTGGTTATCAGTTTGAGAATAGGTCATTGACATTTGACACTGACCTCTCAGGGAAAATACTTAAATGGAGAAACTCCCTGCAACCCTTCATGGCAGCACTCCGAAACAGAGACATTCTCTATAGATGGCGTTCACCGAGGAAACTACAGGTCATGCAGGGCAGTGTTACCCATGAGGTTCGGGATCTGAACGGGGCAGTCGCCCTGCTAGTAATGCTGGGCCTCCCGAAGGACTCTCTGGCCAGGCCTGAAACACAAAGCACCCCAAAGCTGCCACATACATGGGACATGGCGAAAGTCACCCCTTTTGTCCCGGCAGACACGCATGTCACAGCTGCAACAGAACAAGCATACTGTTTTATGATAAAATTGCTTGCTTTATTAGTTAATGCCTGTTTATGTTTACCATGATTTTGACACCTAACAAAACCCTTCCACCACAGATGAGGGTCATTAAGGCCCGACTTTCAAAACCACCCAACCTCCCACCCGCCTTTGTACCTTTTGAAGATCACTCAGCCACTTAAGCTAAACACAGGGGCGTAAAATGAATAAGGCCAAGAATACTACCCAGGCGAAGATAACACACCAACATCGCATTAAGCGGTTCTGAATTCCTCGCAGCCTTAAGCCTACACACTATTTTATATTCCCTGATACCGGCCTCCGCACACACGACCCCTAGCTCAAGCAACTCAGAGCCAATCACACGATCTAACAACACACAACTTAAGGAGCGGAACGTTGCCCATACCGAGGCCACCACTCAGCCTGCACAAGAGGCGCAGGCCCAAGCTTCCCCACAACCCTAAAAGTTTGAAATCACTTAGTAAACTCTTATGCCTAATCTACTTTATCAAGCATTACTTCGCTTAATTCTCCTTAACAAATAGTGCAACATAATTCTCCTATGGTACTAAGCATTTCTTTGATCTTAGATCCTGCTTTAATAGCAAAGTTTAAGCCTTTTTTTCTTTCATAAATATGCCTACCACAAATGCTGATTTGCACAACCTTTTAATGCTGATCATACGTAAACATCCTATTTGTAATATAAAATAAATTAAGTACACTGTACCACAAAGTAAGTTTAAAAATTATCTCTTTTTAAAGGAAGTATGTAGGACGGCTGTGTAAATCACAGGCAGAAGAGTCAACTTTTTTCAAATAATTAATGTTTTTCTTTTTTGTTAATATCTTTGATTGCAATGTGTGAATTTGTAAAGGGACCCTTCAGACACTATACCATCATCTCAGTGAAGTGATTCTAGTGTTTGGCAGTGCTCTTTCATTTAACATTACACCGCTTTTAGTGATTTAATGGTAAACAAGAGTCCCCAGCATCCAATCTCCTCTATGCTGCTTGGGCTAATGAGGAAGCATTAGCCTGAGCAGGAAAGGGTGGCTGTGATAAGCTACATTTGGTCAGTTGGCACTCTTAGCCAATCACAGTGGCTAAAATGAAGTGTGTAATATCTGCCTTAGCCACACCTTTTGTGGAGGCAGGCCTGTAGGAAGCTAGGGACCTTCATTTAGTGTCAAACTGCTCAAAAATGGTTTAACACTGAATTTTAGGCCCACTAAAACAGTTTTTTTTAAGTTTATTTCAAAACAGACTCTAAAGCAAGTCTAAAGAAAAAAAAAAAAAACGAAAAAAAAAAAAAAAAACTGTACGTTTTATATTCTAACCTTCTGTGTCTGTGATATCTTGCATCTCTTCATCTTCATCCTCCTCATCATCTGGTTCTCCGGCCAACTCTTTTGCAATCAGCTGCCGAGCCAGCTTAATATTCATGGCTTCATTGTAATGATGCTTTCTTTTCATTTCAAATTCCTTTTTTTTTTCTATGAGATGTGAAGATAAGAAACAAAACCTCAGTCTCAACTATGGCTGCCAAGGAAATGCAATCTTAAACTACTCAAGAAGGTCACAAAACCACCAATCTACAATCATAGCACATATCTGAATTACATTAGCTAACCCCATGTGAACAGGGATTTGCTATAGGAACTGAGAGGCAGCTATAAAGGTCAGACCTCGACATATAGAACAGCAGCCCATCAGTGAAGCAAAATAAATAAAATAATTAATAATAAATAAAATCTTTAAATTAAGTTGTGGCTGCTCTTCCCTCTAATGCTGGTCATATAAAATAAATAAATATATACAGCCGCATGCGTTCCAGAGTCATAAATTAAAAACAATATGGTTTAATTCTACAATTCTACAACACATTTAACTCTTACTTTACTGGAGTAAAAATGTGCCACATTAAAAATATACAACAAATATGTTTTTGTAATGCTATAGTCACCAGTTAGGTGAACTGGGTCAACGCTGTCAGGGTTACCCCCTTTCCCCTCACAGATTTCCCCCCTCAAGCTCCATATATTTTATTTGGTGGAGATGGATGATCTCAGCCAATCTAATTTTTATTTTATTTTTTAATAGAAAAGGCATTGGCAGGTTAGTGTGCATGTGTGGCAAAAGGGTGGTAGTCTCCAAGAAGATCTCTGAGACCAACTGAATAAAATGCAGAATGGCAAATTTTTAAACTGCTGCGTTAAAAGGGGGCACTAGGCACTATTTGTGTTTCACACTCGACACAAACAATACTAACCACTATAACAGTGTATCGATGTGAAGCTCCTTTAAGTGCTTTATATATAGAGCACTATACATAAAGTACTTTTATTTATCGCTTCTGCACTTTAAGAAGTTTCACAGTGATACATTTTGATAGTGGTTAATATGTGCCACATTAACCTGAACTGTCTTACTATTCTCTCCCCTTTATCAAATTTTAAACACATGGTATAGAGTGTCAGTGTGTGAGAATACAAGGGTCTATGTACATGCAGTGTCACTTGGTGTGTATGAATGCAGGGATGTATAGGGAGTTAAACACAAATGCTCACTATTATAAAAGAGAAAAACTATTTTCCTGGACCATAAAATATGTATTGAAAGTATAAAGTACTTTTATTTATCGCTTCTGCACTTTAAGAAGTTTCACAGTGATACATTTTGATAGTGGTTAATATGTGCCACATTAACCTGAACTGTCTTACTATTCTCTCCCCTTTATCAAATTTTAAACACATGGTATAGAGTGTCAGTGTGTGAGAATACAAGGGTCTATGTACATGCAGTGTCACTTGGTGTGTATGAATGCAGGGATGTATAGGGAGTTAAACACAAATGCTCACTATTATAAAAGAGAAAAACTATTTTCCTGGACCATAAAATATGTATTGAAAGTATAAAGTACTTTTATTTATCGCTTCTGCACTTTAAGAAGTTTCACAGTGATACATTTTGATAGTGGTTAATATGTGCCACATTAACCTGAACTGTCTTACTATTCTCTCCCCTTTATCAAATTTTAAACACATGGTATAGAGTGTCAGTGTGTGAGAATACAAGGGTCTATGTACATGCAGTGTCACTTGGTGTGTATGAATGCAGGGATGTATAGGGAGTTAAACACAAATGCTCACTATTATAAAAGAGAAAAACTATTTTCCTGGACCATAAAATATGTATTGAAAGTTGTCACTTCTCTGATTTGGGTATGACCCATGAGATAACTGAAAGTCTAATATATATATATATATATATATATATATATATATATATATATATATATATATATATATATATATATTTGTTCATAGCAGCAGGGCACACACACACACAATACAGATAACTTTAAACCCTATATTGCCATTAGAGCACATGGACAGGTGCAGATCAATAATGGAGCACAGAGGATTTGTCAATCTCAGAGAAGTGCCAGTTACTTTTAAAAGCCAAACATGCCAGCACCTCTCTCTTCTGGAGTCAGCTCTTCATCTTCTTCCTCTTCACTGCTCTCTTCTTGAACCAAGAATTTAGGCTCCGTTCCCTCTGCTGCTGCTAACCTGCAACCATATTAACACAATAAACACATGACATATTTAAGAACTTAATTATTAAAACCATTTGCACAGTGGAGGAGCAAATAGAGGAAATATAAACAAATAGCATGCGAGGAATGGAAAGTAATGAGGAACAGAAGGAAATTAGATTTCAGATTGGAAGAAGGGTTAGAACAAGACTTTTATCTTTTAATTGTGGAAACATTTTTATGCAAAAACAAACAAATATGTGAAATAGCCCGAAAGATGAAGCTGCATATGTTTTAGGCCTCCTAGGCTCTGGACTAATCAGAAGTTTGAAGTAGCTCTCCAGCTGTAGTGGAGTTAAAAGTCTAGTGGTGGTCAGTAATCATCCTAGAATGGTGTGTGTGCCTGGGTGTATTACAGGAGTTATATTCCAAAACAACAGAAGAGCTAGGTTTGCCATTGCTCATCAACTTTCAATTATTCTAAACTTGCAACCTTTGCTTTACGGTCAAGCTGTACAACTAGCACTGTGACTTACTTTCTAGCCAACACATCTGCAGTCATTGCTTCATTGGACTCTGAATCACTCATGGCTCCTTCATCATCTTCATCACCAACCATCCTTAAAAAGAAATAAAATTTTAAAAAAAATTTACACGAATCACAGCACCATCTCAACAGAGCCTTAAGAAACAGCATATATCAATGATATTACCAGCTAATACAAACAGGCAAATAATTCAAACACATCGAATTTGAAAGATTCTTTCACAATTTAAGTTTAACCAATATGTCTACCTCTGTCCTGTCAGAGTATTTATATCGGCAGACATTTTGTGCTATGATAGAAACTAAAAGTGTATATTCTGAGTCACTCTGAACAGACCAGACTCCATTTTGTTATTTCAAGTTAACAAAGAGACACAGTATTTCTATCTGTAAGACTGGCCTCTTTGCCAGAGCTAAGGAATGCATAGTATAAACAAGTGATAAGGAAGGGGGTTGGACAGACTGTCTAATGCTAATGGAATATAATCAAATCTAAACCCAGACAATTGTGACAGAGAAGATTAAATAATTTAATATTTAACTGTCTATATATATAAGGTACCATTGTATGGAAAAGGGTAAACTTAGTTCATGATCTGTCATATCAGAAATTATGGCAGGAATTGCAGACGCTAAGTCTGGACAAAATTTAAGAAATCCTTTGAAATTTTAAATTATGGCGCTATAAAGATAACGCAAAATGACGTCAAAATAGCCACCAGGAAAAGTTAACTCTTTCCTGGATAGGTATGTTTAGTGGGACAAGACTGCCCTCTACAGACCAAATAACTAATTTGCGATCTGGAAGATAACCACACCTCTAGTGCTTCTATTGGGTTATCAACTGATGACGTACAGAGAGTCTGGCCCTTTAAAAGTTAAGACAAAGGGAAGATAGATACAGAAAGATACGAAGGAGGCAGATGCAAGAGATGCAAAGAAAAAGAGGAGAGAGGAATTGGAAGTTTGGGGACTCCAACCTCCATGCAGAGAGAGACATCCAAATAAGTTCCTGAGGCTACCAATCGGATGAAATATCTACTCAACTGGTAATTATACTGGTTTCATTTAATTAAATTAAATTAATTAAAATGTATTAATAGCATTATATATGACTGGATAAAGCACGGTCAGATTTCCATATTAAGAAATCTTAGTTAACTAAAGAATATATAGTTATAAACATTCCATTCTGCAGGTGGAATTAAGAATAATTATATATTGATGTGATATTATCACGTGTTAGCATACCGCTGTTTTTATCCAGGTGTATTGATTTGCTCTAAATTAAGATAGATATCTTTTAGACAAATTAAAAATCTGCTTATATAATGGTAAATTCTCTTATGGATGGTTTAAGAAAATGACTAATGAACTGGTTTAAATGTTATTTTATTTAAAATACATAAGAATAGATCTTAACTACCTAGGAGATCTAGCCAGCATTGAAAGGGTTATTCTAACTGTCTGCTAAACTTTACGACCTTACGCTGCACTCTGAGGAATTCTGTTCTCTGTGTGAAAAGTTTTACTTTCAGTCTGTGTTAAAGATGGTAATAAATAAGTCTTGACAGATAATGCTGTTTTAGCCATTGAAACGTAATACCCATTCCTTTGTATTGCATACCATTTTATACTGGATATTCATTGATTATTGTTATGCATGTTACATAATATTATTTGTTAATTATTGGTTATCATAAATAAAATCTATTTTTATACATTGTGATATTATTATATGAAATACATTCCACTTAACACGATAAACGTTCTTTGGGATCTGAGAATTGAAATAGTGGGCAATTCTCAACTGTTTACTATTATTATCCCATAAATATCCCCACAGTCCTAGAATGCTTTCTTTAGGGCATTCTTACAGAGTGAGTTCCAACCTTCCCACTATTTTTTAAATGAAAGTACAGTATCAATGTGATGTTTAAAACATTTGTTCCCATGATGGTCGAGCTATGGTGGCTATTATTTCCTAGAACTGTGAGGAGTTCTGGTGCTAAACTATTTTGTTTTTCTGTCAGGACTATGTGGTAGCAAAGTGTATGCGCCTTTCTTTGGATATCGTCAAAGAATATTTGTAATAATGTAGTCTGTGGAGTATGAGGGAGTGTGAAGAACGTAAAGTGACTGACTAGGGTGAAGGCCTTTAACCAGAATGGAATGATCAGTGGACACAACCAACATGTAGAAGACATTAAGTGCTACGGGAATATGCTTTCTGGGACCAGTTTCTGGAAACCAACAGTCTCTCTGGTCTTCCCTGCTTCACTCACTGCACAGAAGCAGGGTATACCACAGCGATTAACTGACTGCTTCAAACACGGGCTAAGGTACATGTTTATGGCTGAAGGATCTTGTCATATACGAAAGGTAGGGATAGGGTTTTCCATTTGTTTTTTTCATGTATTTATTAAAATAAAATACTATTTCTTTAGAGCTCATGCCTTGCATAGGCTTCTCATTGAGCTACATTGGTAAGTATGTAGACTGGACAGCAACTGAAAGTCTGGTCGGGGTTAGAAGGGGAGGGCTTGCAAAAGCTTCAGACAAGAGAACTGCAGCTTTTACATGTAGTTTGTTTTGGGGTACATCTACTATATAGTGTATTTTATTTGGGCAATTAGGTGCCCCTTTAAACCTTTTTAATATATCATATGAGGCGTTTCATTCCTCCTCTGTTTTCTGCACACGTTTCACTCCAATCTCAGTTTACGTTTTGTGTCTATGTTAAGAAGTGTTAGGTATTGGAAATTTGAACAAAATTTGAGCGTTTTACTTTGTTAGGGGAAGAGGAATAATGTAGCCACAAAGTAGAATGTTTTTAAACAATTTTTTGTCTAAACTCCTTCTGAGAGGGGGAGAAGGAGTGATGTGTACCACGTAAGAGTATCCACGTAGAAAACTAAATGCCAAATGACTGGCCTGTGATGGTTATATGACCCATGATATGCAACTGGTTGGGAGATGTGAAACATTCACCTTGATGTCCTACATGGTAACTTCTAATTGCAATCAAACTACTAGACATCAAGGTTTCAACTAACTGAAATACAGATGAAAGCCTGTTTGTATTTTACTTCTTGTCCAAGAGCACATAGCATGAGTGGAGTAATTATTTGACACACTGCCTGTTTCCACAGCACGAATATTTAATGGAGCACACATACGGGTTTGGGACATGGGGATGTTCCTATATAGATTCCACAACTACTCTGAAATTATGTTTACCTGTGATATGGTGTGCTAGGTTCATCAATTTTCATTAAACCGTAGTCTTTGTCAGAAGGATGATACGTAGCTAGGATATTCATTTCATCCCATTTCTGGGACTTTTTACTAAAACAAAGAATATTTATAAAATGTTAGAAACTTGCCAATTCCTTAAAATTTCAATAAACAATGCAAATAGAATATTGTGGCATTTTGAAGATTATTGTATAAATGTAATTTAGCAATTTATTTAGTATAATATGAACAATAAATGTCACACCTATTCATTAATGTTTGTAGATGTCATGTGCAAACTAAGAGAAATGCTTTGATTCTGGAGGTGAGGTCATACAATTTACAAATAATCTCATCACCAAATCTATACACTATAACGTTGAAGAATAATCCAAGCACCATAATCACTACAGTGTGTTGTAGTAGTTATGGTGCCAGGAGTGCCCTAGCACCACTTATTTTAAGTAGTCAAACCATTTTAGAACAGTTTGACATCTTATCTGGTGATCAATGGGTACAGCTCTCCAGCACTACAGCTAAGTGAGAGCCAGAAGGTGGAAACGATGGGCTATGGGAGAATTGTAATCAAGAAACACTCCAAGGATCATTGTTTCTCGTCCATCATATCAAATTTAAAGGGAAACTCTAGGTACCAGAACCATTTTCATGTCCATCATACACCAGGCAACAGCCCGTAATATATAACTTGCTGTAGCAACATAACTTTTTTCATTGGAATGAGAACATTTTGATACTGGGAAGTTTTCCAACATTTGTTTTAATGTTCCTGGTATTGCTTGAGGAATATTTACAACATATTCTAACACAGTAAAGGAGTTTTAACACAGTAAAGGAGTTTAAGCATGCGTGGGATAGGCATAAGGCTATCCTAACTATAAGATAAGGCTAGGGACTAATGAAAAGTATTTAGGAAATTGGGCAGACTAGATGGGCCAAATGGTTCTTATCTGCCGTCACATTCTATGTTTCTATATGTATGTATGAAACTTTGCAATGTTAAAGGACCACTATAGGCACCCAGACCACTTCAGCTCAATGAAGTGGTCTGGGTGCCAGGTCCATCTAGGATTAATCCTGCCTGCTGTAAACATAGCAGTTTCAGAGAAACTGCTATGTTTACATATGGGTTAATCCAGCCTCTAGTGGCTGTCTCATTGACAGCCGCTAGAGGCGCTTCCGCGCTTCTCACTGTGATTTTCACAGTAAGAAGACGCCAGCGTCCATAGGAAAGCACTGAGAATGCTTTCCTATGGACTGGCAGAATGTGCGTGCGGCTCCTGCCGCGCATTCAGCCGATGATGACCGAAGGAGGAGAAGAGTCCCCAGCGCCGAGGTAGCCCAGCGCTGGAGAAAGGTGAGTGTTTAACCCCCTTCAGCCTCTCGGGAGTGGAACCTTGAGGGTGGGGGCACCTTCGGGGCACTATAGTGCCAGGAAAACGAGTTTGTTTTCTTGGCACTCTAGTGGTCCTTTAAGAGGTTTTTTGAATGGAAATAGTGTAGCTATTTTGAATAGAACACAACAAAACAGGAGTCTGTGTTGCACAAAGACGTGAATCACGAGAAAATACCAAAGCATTGGTGTACAATCAGCAAACATCCATAAGGACCAGTTTCCTCCCAATAATGAGTTGCCCAGAGGCACGATATTCAGCATCCCTTGAGGGCAGGAGGAGATAATTCCTCATCAACCAGACGCAGTACAAACTCTGGTAAATGGCTGCCTTTCTGAAGAGCTGGAATGAGGAGCCTTCCCGAATCGTTAGCTAAAATTTGGCTCCACTTTGTATCAAACCCATGCAGGAGGATGATACAGCCAGTAGTCTAGTAAGGGCTGAAACCGTCTGCTAGTATGGAACAGAAAAGGAAGCTTTGCGCATTAAGTTGACTATAAGCCACCACCCTGGTAAAGGTTTTTGGGAGCTTGCCTGGAACAGTAATCAATTTCACACTCTGGCAGCTTGGAGGTCCACATGCTGTTTGCGCAGTTGCAATATCCGTCAAAGAAAATACACAAAAATTTATTCAAGTTTGCTAAAGGTAGCGGCGGTAATGCTGAGAGGGTAGAGCAGGCCACAAGTGCCACCATCTTGTCCATTGTGGAAAAAGATGGCTGCATGTCAGGATGTGTGTCCGTAGGACTCCCAGACCTGGGATAACCCCCACTGGTCCAAATGGGGAGAAACAGGGGCTCTAAATCGAAATGCAATCTCACTAAGGCTAAAGGAGAGTGGCGGCCTTTCCCACACTAATTCAGCAAGTAGGCTTCCAATATGTCATGGCTGCACAAAGATAAAAAGGGCTGCTTGAGATGTGCCAGCGGTCATCAGGGATTCCTAGATTAGACGGCGACTTATTTGTGTAGACAAAAATCGGGTCCCCCTGTAAGGGGGGAGGGGGGAACAGAGCGCTATAGAGAAGCTTGTGCACTGTGCTTCCACCAAGCCCCGCCCTACCCCATCCCTCCTCTTTTTATAAAATATGCGTCTCTTTCTTTTCTACACAGTTTTCAACAAAAAAAAAATGAAAACCTAAATAACAGATGTTTAAGAATTATTAATGTAAATGGATAGATGATATAAAACCTATTTACCTTGAGATACAATTAATTTGTTCTGACATGGTACAGAGGACTAATTTTTTGAGAGGACTGTTTTTCCAAAACTAAAATGAGAGCCATTCTCTAACGCTATAGTTCTAAAAAGTTATTTTTTGCATAGAAATGTAAACTTCACGTGCTGGTTTACAACGCTGTAAAAAACAAAGATTTTGCGAAAGTTTAACCCCTGAAGGATACATGACATGTGTGACATGTCATGATTCCCTTTTATTCCAGAAGTTTGGTCCTTAAGGGGTTAAATTGCACAAGTTTAGCTAAAAGTTCACTAGACAGACTAACCACATTGACAGATTTTTATTTTATGCCCACGTGGTTTTTACATGTTTTGGTACTTTACTATGGCTTGACCAAATTTGTGACTGTGGAGTTCTCTTTGCATTTGGTAGCCAAATTGGAGGCACAGAGCATATTCACGGGTATTGTCCTCGTTGCTACTGAAAGCGGAGCTACAGTCTAACAGGCATAAAGGATAGCAGAATAGCACAGCCTTTTGTACCTCTGATGGCCACACTGCATGAAGAGAATCTTTTGTACACTAAGAGTACAACAAATGAAGTCCTAAAGAAGGTTGTGTGGCACATACAGTGCCATGATTTAAATAGACTGCTTTATATTATTTAGGTTGCAAATTTTTAAATAACCTGTGTAGACAATTTGCAACACCGTTTCTATTTGTGTGCATAATTGATTAGCCATACTGCATATATTGCATCATTATTCAGAAAAAAGTTAGACATGTATTACCCACAAATTGGATACTCTTCGCTTTTTTAAATTTACATTTATGCATATAATACATTTAAAAATTGGATGCTTTAGTTGATTTGTATTATTTTATTGTAAAAGAAATCATAACTAGTGAAGTGACCTCTTGTTACATTTTTTTAAATCAGTTTGAAGGACATTCCAAAATGGTGTTTATCCCCATTTATTTAAAGCACTATTTAGATATTGCAGTAAGCTTTCAGAAGCCCAGGGATTGAATGTGGGAGCATTGTACATACCTCAAAACTAACAATGACTTTGTACAAACTGATTTAACTTAAGTTAATGGAAACTGCAACTTTTATTAGCAGCTCCATTCGTATTTTTATTTATGAATGAAAAATTCTGGCTCTACAAGCTCTCATAAGAAAAAGCTATAAAGGAGCCTCAACATCCACTTAGGCTACGTCATTTACCTTCAGCAAAATGGATGGAGCCAGGGGCTTTTTCTCCATATACAACTGTGGAAATAAAAGCTATATTTAGCCATTAGTGCTAATAAACAAATAAAATGAACTTTACAAAGCTCGAAGACCAGCAACTTAGGCACCTACCACCAAGACAGCTTCCCACAAATGATAGAATAGAACTACAGACAAGAAATGGTGGGGTATCATTCACATCACCTGTAGTCACAGCGGCTGCTAGTGTGTCAAGGTGACACTTTGCAGAAGAAACGGTATAAGAGATTTCAAACTAAAATAAATGTTGCCACATCAATGCACGGATTAAACACATACACTACAGAAGGTGGACTTTAAATATAACTAATCTTACATTATAGGTAGATAATATTGCACATCCTATATGCCTGTACAATCCTTGCAATAACAGTCAACATAGCAAGGCATGCTGTGTTATTTTTATTTACATAAGGTGGTCAATGAAGAAACAAAAAAGGTTTAAGGACAGGTAGCCTAGAAAGGATGTTTTGGGGATTTGACAACCAGCTTTCACTTTATAGGCCAAGGATTCCCCCGTAAATTGTCCCATACTCTTCAATTCTCCTGTAAGGTCTCTACAACTTATTTCAGTGATATTTTTCATATATAGTGAAATAAAAAAAGTATTTAGACAATCTGAAGGGCAAACAGAAGAAGATTGGAGGGCTCTTAAAGACCATAAAATAAAGTTGTATATAAAATCTTTTTACAGCTGAAGCAGGTACTGATGGATGTCTGTTGTTGACCAACGCTAGTTTGGATTGAAGATAAAAAGCACCCTCTTAAACAATCACCTTTAAGCACACCGTCAGCTTTCAATCTCAGTATAATACATAAACCAAACAGATTTACAAGTGATTATGTTTCCAGCCTGATTGTTATTTTTGGATTAAATTGTGTAACAATAGATGCGCTGCATTAACCTAAGCAAAACTGCTCCAGCAATATTCATTTTGTAAATGTCAAAGAGACAATCCTGTCTATTATTACCATAAGTGGTCATGTCTGGGAGGACGTGCACAACATACACACAATAAGTTAGGATGTGTTCCCAACCATGGGAAGTCACACTCCACGAACCAGTTTACAATCCCTATGTACTACATACAGCAGACCCCACAGGTAACACTATAAGCACATCATTGGACTATTACTCTGTAAGGACACATGGCTAAAGGAGATGGTGGTTCTATGGGCTGACTGAAATTAAGATCAATGCAGCCCAGAGCTGGGATGTGCTGGCTGAAGATGATGAGAGTTGTGTGTGTGTAGGCATGCAGTTTATGGGATATCTGCTGGCTGAGGATGATGAGAGTTGTGTGTGTGTGTGTGTCCCTGCAGGCCGTGTACCCCATGCAGCCCTCCATCCCACAACCTCTGATCGTCGTCCCGCTCTTGCTGCGGCTGTTGCCGGTTGGTGACCCGGCGCTCGGGAGGCTCACATTCCTTATTTTTCAGGATGCTTTTGATCGGTCTCGGTGTGTGCGCCGCCATGTGTCCGGTCTGGGGGGAATCCGAAAACACCGCACCGACACACCAGCACTACCACACCGGCAACGCCTCCTCCCCGTCACCGCCCGCTACGTCATCGGCGGTAACTGACACTGCGTGACTTCCGGCATGGCCTAGCGGGCGCCCGCAGAGTGCTGAACACTAGAGACCAGTGCGCAGCCATCCCATGTCTAAACTGGCCTGGTGTAGCCGATACAGAGCTCGGTGTTCTCCCACTCTGGTGGATAGCTCTCTACAGTTTGTTGTGAATCGCGCTGATGGCGTAACGCGGTCGCCATGGGAACCCGGGGAGAAGGTGTCCGCGCGCAGTTTTCACATACAGCGTTTGAAGGAAGTAGGAGCTCTCTGATTGGGCGAACAAATACAGCGTCACCTGCTGCGATCATCACGCCGCTACTGTGTCTGGTGACGCAGGAGGAGGTCACCCTGCGGGTGTTTTCTTAAAGGACCACTCTAGGCACCCAGACCACTTCAGCTTAAAGGACCACTATAGTGCCAGGAAAACATACTCGTTTTCCTGGCACTATAGTGCCCTGAGGGTGCCCCCTCCCTCAGGGTCCCCCCCCCCGCCCGGCTCTGGAAGGGGGAAAGGGTTAAAAACTTACCTTTTTCCAGCGCTGTGCGGGGAGCTCTCTGCCTCCTCTTCTCCTCCCCGTCGGCTGAATGCACACGCGCGGCAAGAGCTGCGCGCGCATTCAGCCAGTCTCATAGGAAAGCATTTACAATGCTTTCCTATGGACGCTTGCGTGCTCTCACTGTGATTTTCACAGTGAGAATCACGCAAGCGCCTCTAGCGGCTGTCAATGAGACATAGAAACATAGAATGTGACGGCAGATAATAACCATTCGGCCCATCTAGTCTGCCCAATTTTCTAAATACTTTCATTAGTCCCTAGCCTTATCTTATAGTTAGGATAGCCTTATGCCTATCCCACGCATGCTTAAACTCCTTTACTGTGTGTTAACCTCTACCACTTCAGCTGGAAGGCTATTCCATGCATCCACTACCCTCTCAGTAAAGTAATACTTCCTGATATTATTTTTAAACCTTTGTCCCTCTAATTTAAGACTATGTCCTCTTGTTGTGGTAGTTTTTCTTCTTTTAAATATAGTCTCCTCCTTTACTGTGTTGATTCCCTTTTATATATTTAAATGTTTCTATCATATGCCCCCTGTCTCGTCTTTCCTCCAAGCTATACATGTTAAGATCCTTTAACCTTTCCTGGTAAGTTTTATCCCGCAATCCATGAACCAGTTTAGTAGCCCTCTCTGAATCAATATTCTTCTGAAGATACGGTCTCCAGTACTGTGTACAATACTCCAAGTGAGGTCTCACCAGTGTTCTGTACAATGGCATGAGCACTTCCCTCTTTCTACTGCTAATACCTCTCCCTATACAACCAAGCATTCTGCTAGCATTTCCTGCTGCTCTATTACATTGTCTGTCTACCTTTAAGTCATCAGAAATAATCACCCCTAAATCCCTTTCCTCATATGTTGAGGTTAGAACTCTATCAAATATTCTATACTCTGCCCTTGGGTTTTTACGTCCAAGATGCATTATCTTGCACTTATCCACATTAAATGTCAGTTGCCACAATTCTGACCATTTTTCTAGTTTACCTAAATCATTTGCCACTTGGCTTATCCCTCTGGAACATCAACCCTGTTACATATCTTAGTATCATCAGCAAAAGACATACCTTACCATCAAGACCTTCTGCAATATCACTAATAAAAATATTAAAGAGAATGGGTCCAAGTACAGATCCCTGAGGTACTCCACTGGTGACAAGTCCAAGCTTCAAATATATTCCATTAACTACAGCCACTAGAGGAAATAGGGGAAGGCTTAACCCATTGATAAACATAGCAGTTTCTCTGAAACTGCTATGTTTATAAAAAAAAAATGGATTAACCCTAGAAGGACCTGGCACCCAGACCACTTCATTAAGCTGAAGTGGTCTGGGTGCCTAGAGTGGTCCTTTAATGAAGTGGTCTGGGTGCCTGGTCCAGCTAGGGTTAACCATTTTTTTTTTTTTATAAACATAGCAGTTTCAGAGAAACTGCCATGTTTAGAGGCTGGATTAACCCATTTATAAATCTTCTAGTGGCTGTCTCATTGACAGCCGCAAGAGGCGCTTGCGTGCTTCTCACTGAGAAAATCACAGTGAGAAGACGCCAGCGTCCATAGGAAAGCATTGTGAATGCTTTCCTATGAGACAGGCTGAATGCGCGTGCAGCTCCTGCCGCACATGTGCATTCAGCCGAAGAAGAGGAGGAGAGCTCCCCGCCCGGCGCTGGAAAAAAGGTACGTTTAACCCCTTTCCTCTTCCCAGAGCCTGGTGGGAGGGGGTCCCTGAGGGTGGGGGCACCCTCAGGGCACTATAGTGGTCCTTTAAATAACCCAAGTGCGTCATATTCTTGGAGCACATCCCAAGAGCCAATCATCAATGGGACACGCAGGAACGACGCAAACCAATCCGCAAACACCGCTAACAACATACCTACCAAGTGTCCCTGTCTGGGGTCCAAGTCCCTTTGTCTCTGTTTTCTATCCCCATGCCACTCTTTCCCAGAAGCTCCATGTTGTTGGTGTATGTTTATAGTGTCTCTCTGCCCCTGCAGCACTCAATGGCTAAATAACCATTAAACACTCACTTAACCTCTCGGTGGCTCCAAACCGCCTTCTCTGTCGTTGTCACAAGGGGAAACCTAATGTGCGACAAGCGGCACGCACACATCGAGCATTGACGGAATGTTTTCCTATGGACATTTAGAAGACGCTGGACGTTCTCATGCAAAGTGTGCGGATGTCCAGCGTCATTTCATGTTAACTCTGTGAAAAAACGGGAAATGCCAATTGAAGCAGTCTTAACACTGCAATGGAAACATAGGAGCGGCAAACTTTACTTTTGCCTAGGGCGGCAAAAATCCTTGCACCGGCCCTGCTAACGCGCTAACATTGGCTCCTGGCAACTGAAGAGGACCAGATAGAAAAACATGGTGGTATCAAAGAGTCACTAAGTCAGTTAAGAATAATAAACCTTTCCCTGCACCCCCAGCAGCGATATTACCATTGAAGGTCATTCAAATTATGCAAAGACCCTCGTCAGTTACAGAGCTGCTTTAATGCTGTGTCTCTGAATTGTTCCTAGGTGACTCATGTATTGTAGATGAACAGTTTGTTTTTTAAATATATTATTTATAAATGTCCTGTTTTACTTTTTTCTATGTTCCAGAACAAGGAGCATTATGAGAAGGGTTTGTCTTTTGATACAATCAAAAGTTCAGGATTTTGCTTATTCACTTTTATTTATTTTTTCCACTTTGTTTTTTTTTATTTGTATTTATTTATTTTCCAACAGAGCCAATTTAAAATATCAGTGCTAGACAGAAGATGTAACAAGTATCTAGGAGAGTTGCATGTTTATACACCAAAACTAGTCTGCATCATTTTTTTCAAATGAAGTGATACAAAAAAAAATAGCCACATACAATGTATCTTCTCAAGCAACTCCTCTCACTCCATGGTAAACAGTTGAGATGTGCACAGAAAGGATTTTCAGTTAGGCCAGTATTAGTTCAAATATGGATTCCGTTCATTCGATATGTACAGTGCCTTGCAAAAGTATTCACCCCCACCCCCTTGACTTTTTACCTATTTTGTTACATTACAGCCTCAAGTTCAATGTTTTATTAATCTGAATTTTATGTGATGCATCAGAGCACAATTGTCTAAGTTGGTGAAGTGCAATGAGAAAAATATATACATAAAAAACAGAAAATTGGCATGTGCGTATGTATTCACCCCCTTTGTTATGAAGCCCATAAAAAGCTCTGGTGCAACCAATTACCTTCAGAAGTCACATAATTAGTGAAATGATGTCCACCTGTGTGCAATCTAAGTGTCACATGATCTGTCATTACATATACACACCTTTTTTGAAAGGCCCCAGAGGCTGCAACACCTAAGCAAGAGGCACCACTAACCAAACACTGCCATGAAGACCAAATAACTCTCCAAACAAGTAAGGGACAATGTTGTTGAGAAGTACAAGTCAGGGTTAGGTTATAAAAAAAATATCCAAATCTTTGATGATCCCCAGGAGCACCATCATATCTATCATAACCAAATATAAAGAACATGGCACAACAGCAAACCTGCCAAGAGACGTTAATCACTGTTTGTATTTATCACTTGGAGTTAGATGTCTTATTTAGGCACTATTTCATACATAAGTATGGATCTTATTCATGTATACACTTTCTGCATGGCACTCCGCACTTTATTTCAACAGTTGGTTGTTTTGATGTTTCCTAGCAACCGACCGCACGTATTACGGCGTTACATGCCTCTACATCACAGGGGGTCACGTGTTCCGCATGAACCCTTCCTGGTTCGGGTACACATTGAATTCTCACTTGAATTGTTAAGTCACTTCATTACTTACTGTATATTTAATGTATTTGTTGGTATCACTTGTTGATCTTGAGAAATACCCAGGTTGGAGTCAAAACGTCGACCGGGACAAAGTGTTAATTCTTTTGCTCACATGCAATAAAAGGTATTAGCTTTTTTTCCACAAAAACCTGTGAATGCACCCACTTTATTTGAAATTAGACGTGCAATTAGTTTCGGTCCGAATGTGAATTCGTACGAAATTCGGACATTCGGGTACTTCCGAATGTCCGAATAGATGAATTTCCGAATTGTCGAAGTTTCGAAATTACCGAATTTCCGAAGTGCCGAAGCACAGTGTTGCCTAAGAACTAATATACTTACCCAGTGGCAGAATGAAGAATGTTACACTGTATACAATTTTAAATACAAAGTATACAAACATAGCCAGGATTCAGCTGTAAGCATTTGCAACACTTACAACAATCAAGTAACATACATTCAAATAAAATGTAAGTTACTTAGCCAGTCAATGTAATGACAGGAATGAATAAGTAGATAACTCCCTAATTCCCACGGTATCAGGGAGATATCTACTAAAAGACTGAAAGACCTAAATTGGTCTTTCAGACAAATTTACTAATACTAAGTAAAGATTACTTAGTATTAGTAAATTATGCCCCTACTCGCAATACTGCAAGTAGGGGCATGTCTATTAATCAGTGAGTAGCCTACAGCTACTCACTTTAAAAAAAAAAATGTCTCCCCCTCCCGAGCCCCCACCCGTGCCGCGCAAATGGGGGCTTCTAACCTGAAGGGGGGACCTATTGCCCCCACCCCTGAATGGCGGGTAGGGGCCCTACAGTAAAATAAGGGGGGGGGACCTAGTGTCCTCCACACTGGCCCCCACCCCTGAGCGGTGGGTGGGGGCCCTAAATACTAATGGGGGGGACGTAATGTCCTCCTCCCTGGCCCCCACCCCTGAACGGTGGTTGAGGCCCCTAAATATTAATAAGGGGGGACCTAATGTCCTCCCCCCTGAGCAGTGGG